GTTTATAAAATTATATGCAGCATTTATTTTAGTGCCCAAATTTTATATCTATTTTTCTACAAATTAGTGTAAATATATATTATTCATTCTGAACATTCAGTGATGGAGATATTATTTTCAGCTATGAACAGTATGAGCAGTTAAGTATAAAACTTAGTAAGTCATTTCCCTTTTAATTTTGTGGTTTCAAATGATTTGAGCAAATTTGAACCTTACATATACTGAAAGTGTATAATAGGAATCACACTAACAGCAAGATGTATTCAGATATTAGAACAATTCAAATTACTGAATTAATAATATATCTATATCATACAAGTATAGATGAACACCTTATTTTCACAGTTTCTCTAGCATTCTTTGTGAGCTAACATCTAATTTTGTATGAATTGGGACACTTTGCACCATTGTTTCTTTCTTTAGGAACTTTCTCTGTTGAAGAAGACACCAAGTGGATCAAACTGAATGTGAATCAGACTGGCCTATACCGTGTGATGTATGAAGAGGAGGAATGGAGAACCTTTACTGAAGTGTTACGTCAAGATCACTGGGTAAAATAACGTCAGAATTTAAAATATTTCTAATCTCAGAATAGTTTTCAAAAACATTATGTATAGAGTTAAAACATACAATTATTATGTTTACCATATTTGATTTTCTGCTGGATCTTGACTTATGATAAAAAGTGTTACTAAATACAAATAAATCAGTTACTCTTGTGTTTGATCAGTCATTATTACTATAGTTAACCATAATCTTTTCAAGCAGTTTATCTTAATTTTCTGACTAATTGCTTGAATCTAATTCTGGTCAATTATATTTCCATTTATACCACTTTCTTTTGTTAAAAAAGTGTCAAGTAATGATTCTGAAAGAAAAGCTACATGTAACACTAAATGAACTAGCAGCTGGATCTGTCTCCTGAGAGCACGGATGTAAGATATCTTACTTAAAAATGATAATTACATGTTTATACCATATTGAATTAATAATAATTCATCAATAGTTTTCCAGGATAGAATGGAGATGCAAGAGTGTAAAATGCACAAGTCTAACACCCAGGACTACCAAATTTTGAGTTCAAACCACCATGAATTTTATATTTACTAGCTTGTAATTAGTGCAGCTCTGCTTCTGTGAAATGTGTGCACGTGTGTAAACTATGTATTGAATTATTAACATTTATAAAAATGCTACCTGTTGTTATTTTTTCTTGCAAAGCATTAAATATTAACTGCCACTGAAATTTTTGAAAGATTGGTAGCACATTTATCAACATTAGGCTAAGCCATCATGAGACTAATGTACAAGCAGAAATGCATGACCTAATTATTGACACCTATGTTAAAATGTCAGAGTATTTAGTTTCATATTTTGAGCTCAGACCACCATGAATATCATATTTACTAGCTTGCAACTAATGCAACTCAGCTTACGTGATTCAAATCCCCATCCCACCAAACATGGTTGCTCTTTCAGCCCTGGGGGTGTTACAATGTGATGGTCAACCTCACTATTTGTTGATAAAAGAGTAGCCCAAGTTGTGGCGGTGGGTGGTGATGACTAGCTGCTTTCCCTCTCGTCTTTCACTGCTAAATTAGGGATGACTAGTGCAGATAGCCCTCGTGTAGCTTTGCACAAAATTCAAAACAAGCAAACAAACTGCTTTCATGAAATGTATGCATGTGGGTAAACTATATATTGAATTTTTTGAGTTCTGATACTGCACATTACTTCCATTCACATAAATAGCTATTCTTATTCAATGCTGCCTTCTAAATGTAAAAAATATTTTTGCATATGCCACAAGCCTTTAAGCTCCCACCCCTCTGGAATTGTCTGATTCCAATGTGTCTTGCATGCAAATCATCATGTGACAACCCTCCACCAATAAGAGTGTGACATACTCTCTTGATGCATATGTCTCCCTCTATTCAATTCTACCAAACTATCACTTCTCATTTGGCAGTACTCGTGTTATAACTTATAGTTTGTGCTCTCTTCATTTTTTTTCCCAATTCTTTGTATTAATTTCTCTCAACAAGTTTACTCATTATTATACATTAGTGAAATTTGTAACTTGTTGAGTTATTCCAAAGTGGAATTATTTTCTATTTCTACCCAGTTACGGAACTTATTACTTCATTACAAAAACATTTTACTTGTTTCTGCCAACACAGTTGTGTTTGGTTATTCATTTTGCATTATTTATTCTACGTTCTCACTTCAGAGGTTACATGTTCTATTAGCATATTTACACAGGCTTCAAGTTGTGGTGCTATTGCTCGCCTTCGTCCTACAATGGCTGAACCCATTTTGAGATGACCTAGATTTTGTCATTTTTCCTCTACCTTATCATGGAGTGCCTTCCAGGCCTCTACTGCAGAATCTGCTAGGCCTATCTCAGTTTTTTTAGACATATTTCACAGTATATTCCCCTTATCATGACATTTTTCATGATGGTTTTTTGTCTCTTTTTTTGAGAATGGGTACTTGCAAGCCTCGCCCTATACAGGCTTTAATTCTTTTTGCCTTAGTTTACCATCAGGCAGATTTTCTTCCTGATGTAATGCTCTTTGTTTTATCCTGTCGACTCTCCTACAGTTAATGTTTACTTTCCAACTCCTTTCTTCTGTGTACCTCTTATATTTTGGGATTTTTGTGGTATACATCTTCCTTCTTCCCTCTATATTGAGGTGTTTAGTATCTTCATTTCATTCCCTCCCTCTCCAATGCAATCCAAATTTTTTTTTAGTTGCTCTTTTGTTTCATTCTGAGATTTTATAATCTTTATTCATTTTATATGTCTGGCAAATTCCCATCCTTTACCTGTCTTACCTACAGGTTTTCTTCATTTGTCTTGTTTGCTCAATGCTGATTGGGGTTCTGAATTGATCAGTCCCACCTCAATTACTTCTTGGTTTTTCCCTGTTTTAATATGTAGTCTTTGATCACATTTGGGTAGGCTGTTTCTACATGACTTAGAATGCCCACGATACATGATCTTATCTTCGTTTTTTTCCCCACGTGATTGGGTACCAGTTTCATGTCTTGACCTTTGGACTTTTTTCGGTTCCACGGGTCTTTGGTGGGGCAGTCTGCATTTTACCTTACTTCTATATTTTCAAGGATTTAGCAACACCATACATTGGATATCTAGCTTTGGTTGGCTCCTTTCAAATGGGGATTGTCTTCACATACTCATCTACTCCTTCCACAGTCAGCTCGGGTAGTTGGATTATCCAGTTGGATAAGTTTTTCCTGTTAGATACCTCACATTTTAGTCTCCATAGGGACCATCCATTCTCCTCCTTGAATGCATTCAAAGGTGTTTTCTGTTATCCAAGCCTTTAATTTGGGTTTTCCTCTTAATTTTCAACCTCCCCTCTTCATTTATATCTGGTGATAGCTGAACATTTCCCCCATAATGTTGCATTTACCACTTCCTTCCCCCATTCTGAATTGCTTCTCTTCCCTGATGCTTATCTTCAAAGGTGGGGGTGTGATTATATCAGTAAGAGGCTTGTGGTTAATGATCTATAGTCGAAATGTCTTATCCTCTTCACACCCAGGCACTTCCACCAGTCCAAGGTGCTTTAGTTCACACTCTTCCTCTTGTCTGGTTTGACTAATCCTGTTTCATTTCGACTTTTTGATGATGATGATGATCACTCACCAAGGGGACACTTCTTCTTGTTCCCTTTGAGTTAATCAGTGGATTTCCTTTTTTTGAACCTGCATACTTGACATTCGTGTCCTGGAGGACCATGTTCCAGGTGCTTTGACTTTGTTGCTAATTGACTTTCCATTCCTGACACACTTTCTCTCAAGGTGTGACCTCTTGATCTTCCTAAATTTTTGGTGGCTCTACCTCCTATGGTGTACTCCTCCACATTAAGTTTTTGATTATTTTATTACTTCACAGTTAGTTATCTCTTTTGTTTTTGGCCTCTGGTTCATCATACACTTGTCCTGGATGCTGTTAAGTTCGGACAGGTTTACATTAGTTTTTATCTCATTCCATCAGTCTTCTTACCCAAAATTTTGTGCATCTATGTCACTCTGGTTCAAATCTTTCTGATTGATCTTTTCTGGCCAGCACTGTTTTGGTTTTCTCAGCTGTTTTGGCTCGATTTGTTACTTTTGTTTTGGATCGATTTTATTAACCAACATTTTGGTGTCTCATATGGTATATTACTTTAAACTTTTTCGTTTCTTATCATCTTCCACATTTCTTCTCAGTGGGATTCAGAGAACCTTCTCTGTCCACTATATGTTGTGGGTTGCTTCATTGTTTTCAATGCTTCTGTCCATTGAATTCATTTCCCACACTTTCCTCCCATGTTTGGATTGTGATTTGATTAGCCTTTTATTCCTTGTCTCCTTTCTTCCAGTCATCACTTCCTGGTGTCTTCACTCCGATCGTGCACCTTCCCTTTTCCTTGCATATCTACCCTGCCATCCATTGGAGGTACTTTGTCTGTTGAGCACTGAGACTACATGGCATATGTTCATCTTCCATTCTCTGCTTTGGGTAGATATTTTTTCCTTGCCGGGGTACCATCATCCACCTGTTGCCATCCTACACTCTTTAAACACGAGACTGTGACTGGGTAAGTTACCTTTTAGTATATATACCTCTTCTTTTTCAGGGGCATGTCCCACTTTTTCTTTCTGGATCTCACTCTGTGGGGAATGATGCCTGACCAGGTATTCTTTAAATGTTCAAATCCACACTGTTAGACCATGTCGACTTACATATTATGATTCCATGGCCACACAATGCACACTGCAGAGATGGAGTGTTCTACAAGATTGCTTGTAAGTTTGCTAGATCCGGACCGTACTAACCCATGGACTACATGGGTAAAGCAGAAGGGGATAGTTGCCCATCCCTGCCATGCAATGTAATCAGTATGGTCTGCTTTTCAAAATAGGGTTTTGTGATCACCCATTGCACTGTCTTAGGTGTTGTTGTTACTCTAGACTCTCCACCACGCTTCCCCCCCTTTTATTCCAGTGGAATTTGAGAGTCCTTACCATGTTCCAATTCCAAGCTGCTGGGGTGATGGACCATGGAGACATCCTCCTGAATATGTTACTGAAAACCAAATAATATATATATTTATACAACATATACATAAATGATTATAAGACCATTCAGTTGAGAGTAGAGCAGTGGCATTCTGCTGGTGTAGATGATGAGATATCCTCCACTATGTAACATTGGAGTGAGCCATCAAAATTGCAGTTCACCCCTTTTATTGGGATCCCTCATCCTACACTCATATGGATGTCAGTTCCAACTGACTGGGTTTTGGATTTAGAGCTGAATCAATTGTATTGCAGATGTCTCTATTCCCTTACTAATTTATACTCTTGTTACTCCATCCATGTCATGGGTCATGATGGAGGTACTTGCAGATTACTCTGGTTCTTCCCCTTCCACTATCCCTCAACATTCTTATTATTCTTACTGTGCTTGAGGAGGTTTCTATCATTTTGAATTTGAGTTTACATTACACAGACATCTTTTTGATGCCAGATGTCAGGTTCCCAGATTGATCAATCACTTTCTTTCACTGTAATCATGTGCCCCATTTATGGGTCAGGGGTATGAGATTCCCTACGATCTCATGAACTTGAGGTGAAGACGGTATGATCCTCTTTCCTACCCCCACATGGATGTCAGTTTCTGGTGGCCTGGTGTTTGGATTGTAGTCAACTTGCCTGTGGAATGATCTTCATCCTACCCCTGCATGGATGTCAGTTCCCAGCAGCATGGGTTTTGGGTTTAGTTGACTTGTTGTGTATGGTCCATCTTGCCTTCCTTGCACTTCCCACCTTTCCTACCCCACTGAAAACCAGTGCTTCCATTTTATGCCCAAACTCGAAGTGATAATTTGGTAGAATTGAATAGAGGGAATCACATACATCAAGAGACTATGTCACACTCTTATTGGTGGAGGGTTGTCGCATGCGAGACGCACTGGAATCAGTTAATTTCAGAAGGGTGGGAACTTAACGGCTTGTAGCATGCACAAAACGTTTTTTTTGCATATAAAAGGCAGCTCTGAACGTGAATAGCCATTTATGTGAGAGGAGGTAAGTACCTTTTGAAAATACATTTTCAGCATAGGAAAATTATAACATATATAAAAATAGATATAAATGCAAAGTATTAATTATTAACTGCTACTGAAATTTTTGAAAAACTGGTAGCATGTTTATTAGCAATAGGCTAATCTATCATGAGCCTGATGTACAAGCACATATGCATGACCTAATTATTGACATCTATGTTAAAATGTCCAAGTATTTAGTTTCATATTTATCCTGCATTCTAATATATGTAATGGTTTTTGATTGGATTATAACAGTCATTTTTAATACAAAGTTTTATTAACACAAAATGAAAGAGTGTTTCAGGCAAAATTACTTAAACTGCCTACTCAGACTTTTAGGTACAACAGAAAAGAGTGAGGTGCTCTGAATATTGGAACATACTTGGTTGCTTTGTTTTTGTCATGTTTGTAAAATGGATAACCTGCTCAGAGATTTTACATTTTTATATAGTCTCAATTAATAATAGTATTTTCAACACATCATAAAAGCCAAGTGTTGGTTGGTCACACTCAATTTCTTCAAATTTCATGAGTTATATGTGTCCAATTCCATTTTTTTCTCCAATAATACTTCCTCTCTTCATTGTCTGTTCCCATTTTAGTTGAATTCAGTTGCTAACATAAGTGTAAATAGCTCTTAAATTTTGGCATTTTTTCTGCTATGTGAAAGCCTGTCAAAGAGAAAGTCTTTATATGAAGGATTTATTTAGTATCAAGTAAAATTAATTTGCTGTTTGTTATGAAGAGAAGTTTTTTAATTAATGATCAAGTAATTGCAAGAAATGGGATTTAAAGAGAACTGTTGCAATAATACAATTGATGTGATAAGAATATAACTGTGATCAATGAATGCTGGGAAGAAACACTCTTTAGGTAAAAGAGATATTGCTCTTGGTAGGCTTTGGTTTCCTGAAGATAAAAGGCCCTTTATTTCTCATATGTGTGTTTATGGGTAGCAAAGCTGCAAGTGCATATTAGAGGATTCAAATTTGGTAGGCTTTAGCTTACCCTAATTTTTGACAGGCTTTTATACTAGTAAGAAATAACAGTCTATCACAAATATTACTGGTTAATCTGCCCATAGATTTTATGTCTGCTTTAAATATGCTGTAATAGTTTATATTATTACTATTTTTAGCTCTGTAATGTTGTCAAAAAAGTCATTTCAATGAATATAGATATGTATATGCCCCCCCCCCCCCCCAGTGGCACAGCAGTATGTCTGCGGACTTACAATGCTAGAAACCAGGTTTTGATACCCGTGGTGGGTAGAGCACAGATAGCCCATTGTGTAGCTTTGTGCATAACTTCAAACAAACAAACTAAACAGATATGTATATTTCTTGCAATCTATAACAACTGTTTTTATATTGAAGAAAAAAAAGTTGGGCTACTACCTGTCTGAGACTAGTATATCAAAAACATTTTTCTACTTCCCTGAAATATGAGTTGATACTAGATAGTACTCTAAAAGATTATTCAAGGGTGGAAAGCTATTTTATTAAAGTTTTGTAATGTCTATATAATTAATGGGCATTCTTATAGTAATATGACATGTTTTATATTATGAAGCATCAAATAAATATTATGCTTATGGCAAAGGATGTATTCAATTCCTTAATTATAATGAATTATTTTTGGTGTTGATGTAGACGAGTCATGTATTTTCTACAGATCAGATTACTATAGATCATATCAAAGATTTTTACATAGTTTGATGTTCATTGATTATAAGAAAACTCATAATATGTGTCACAATAAAAACAATTAATACAATCATGCATTCATACTTTTATTGCTAACTGTATTTGTATATTTAGTTACTGACAAAAAAAAACAGGGGTCACAGTTAAATTTTACAAATTGTGTGTTGGAAACTCATAATATTCTGAAAAATGTGTACAATAGCATATTTCTATGCAGTTCCAAAAGTTATTTCTATTAACAATGCAATTATATGTTCTTTTTCAAATTTCTGCCAATCCCAAAGTATAAGTTTATATTTACTAAGAAGCTATCATCCCTTGAGAACATAATTATCTACATGATTTTATTTCTGTGTGAGTGATTTTATTAGTACATGCTTCAGTCATGCCATTTATGATGTCGCATCATGTAGTCTGAACAATTAATAATGAAACACAGCTTTGAAAATAACTATAGGCAACATTTAAATACAGTTGAATAGCACAGGTTATAAATTGTTTACTTTAATGTACAGCAAATAAAGTGGTCTGAGCTGCAAATTATGTTTTGTGGGAAAGTGACTAGACCATTGAATTTTACTAGAGTTGGTAACAGATATGCTTGTTTCCTTTTGAAGATTCTGCTTCTCATCATTAGGTAAATGTTTGTCTCCATGACGAAGTAGATCACCTTTTCTAGTTGAGTAGTCTGTAATAGTATGGTTTTTAAAGTGCAAATACCTTATAATTAAGTAGCTTCCACAACATTCAAAAACGTTTATTTCTTAAAAACTATTAAAACAAAAGCTGTGGGTACTTTTTATCCTTTGTAGGTAGTCATTTACTTCAGTCCAGCTTGTTTTGATAGCAGTTGGTATTTTGGGTGAATTTTGCAAACTAAGAGATGCTGAAATAAACTGTTAGCCAATTAACCATTCTTTGAGACAAGTATTATCTCATCCTTTATATTATTTTCTCATGGATAAATTGAAGCTCACTCTATAGTTTGACGAGCTTCAGAAACATTAGATAAATCATGTGGAGCTCTATGCATACTTTACATTCATATTATTGTTTTAATTGAGACAGTATTTTTTTATGCAATGCATTTGGGATGTCTATTTTGTTCGACATTTGTGCACATTTCCAGTATAATGCATTTGACTTCTTTTTTCTTTTTCTTGTTCCATAGAGCAGGTGTAATGGAGTATTATAAAACTTTATCTATTTATACTATAGAAACTGCATTCTGGGGATCGGGCCAACCTTCTTGATGATGGATTTTCTCTTGCACGGTATGTTCTGTTATAATAATCCATAACATGGATAAAACAAACTGGATTGATTAGTTGTATCATTTTATAAGCCCAGAAACCATACTAACCACTCTTATTATTAATGATGATAATATTATTAATGATATTTCTTTCAATAATATGACATGAGATCTACAAGTTCATTTGATGAGACATTCATCTGAATAATGTCTGAAGTGCTTAATTTTCAATGAAGACTACAGTTAGATCCTTTAAATAAGACTGAGAATGGAGTTTCATGTCTAAATTATCTTAGGTATTAATCTTATGGATAAACTTTCTTCTTTAAAAGCATTTTAACTGTTGTGTTATTTATTTTAGTTGGTAATCATGTGGTTAAACCTATTCCTTTAAATGTAATTGAAGAGTTCATGAATGTCAGAACAGAAGGACCTCTCCATAAATTTTGATAGGATTATAATTTCACTACGTGAATTTGGTTTTGATTAAAAATACTGACTCACCTTAAACAATAAACAGCTAAAGATAATAAAGTGATTTTGGTAAATGGAAGTAAATATAGAGATTAAAAAATATTAAGATAAAAAACAAGAATGCCAGGTAAGTTGTTCATTAAAATACTTATTTATACATTAACTACACTTGCATTTTCCCCTTATTTCCATAGTATTTTAGCACCATTGTATCGATCTAGATCCAAATTGCATACACTAAAATTGCCAAATTTTCTGGAGAAGCATGTCTTCAAATTCTTTTGGTAGGCACACTTCTGACCATCATGATTCACTTCAAACTTTGACCCTTACACGCATCTACTTATTTAAATTAATATAAAATTGCTATTTAACTTATTGTATGTGCTTACCAAACAACGGCCCAGCATGGCCAGGTTGTTATGGCGCTAGACTCGCTATCTGAGGGTTGTGGGTTCGAATTCCTGTCCCACCAAACATGCTCGCTCTTTCAGCTGTGTGAGCATTATAATGTGACGGTCAATCTCACTATTCTCACTAAAAGAGTAGCCCAAGAATTAGCGGTGGGTGGTGATGACTAGCTGCCTTCCCTCTAGTCTTACACTGCTAAATTAGGGACAGCTAGCGCAGATAGCCCTCATGTAGCTTTGTGCAAAATTCAAAACAAACAATTACCAAACAAAACTTTAAGTATGACTACAAACATTTTTGGATTTACCAGAAGATGTATACTAAGAATTTCACAATATAGTTTTGAAAATAATCATATGAATTTTTAATTGTGTTTTTTATAAATATAACTCTAGAGAGATGTTTACTTTTATGTATACTTTTTGTTTTTATTTGTTCCTTAAGTTTGTTTTTTGTCAAAACATTTTTTATATTTCGTTGTTTATAAATAGTTTACTTAATATGATACTTAGAGCAATACCACACAAAATGAGAAACGTTAAACAGCAGTATTTTTTAGATATGTTATGCTACATGCAATAAGAAATTAACAGCATATCTTGGGCAACAGCTTTCTCTCACTTAACCTTATGTGCATGGATGGAGGTCAATATACATATGCCACAACATTTTACAGAGTGTCATTCAACTTGGTATTAGGCCTGTATGCAGAGTGTTTGAAAGGGAGGTTAAATTTTGTGAGATCAAAAGCAAATGCATAGTGTGCTAATTCTACAGGTGTCTGGTGACATGCCTTCCACAAAATGTGTAAAAAAATAGATGCTACGAGATTAAATCTAGAAACAACTTTGCATGAAATATAGCTTAACTAATTCCATGGTTGTTCACATAAAATCCACAAACATCCAGTGAAGTCAACAAATCATGATTCTTTTGTAATGCTGCTTAGCAAGCTAGACTTAAACTAGCATAACTATGTATGTTTTATTATAATAAAGTAATTTACATGCAGAGTAGTTAATAATTGTTAAATTATATTACTAATTTAAACAGCTCTGCACAACAAAAGTATATTAGTTTTCTCAATCATTGCCTATCATACATGTACATGTATGCACTACTAAAATAATATGTTAGCATGCTACATTTTTCTGGTGTCTTTTTCCATAAATAACTTACATACAATTTCAATGTGGATATCTAGAACACTCTCTTTGGTTTGTCTACACCTAAGGTAATTATTGACTCTATGAGGACTTTGATGAAAAGAGACAATTATTTAAAGCTCTGGATACAACTGTGATAACCAACAGTGCAACAAACATTTGTATATATGTTTGACTTGCTTTGATATATTATTTTAATACAAGTGAACTATGTTGCTGTTTTTTTTATTGTTGAAATTTATCGCCAACAAGACACAGACACCTACTTTGAAGAATCTGGACTACAAACCTGACATTAGCAATATGGCTTCGAGCTTCCAATTACAAAGTGTCTACAGAAGCCATTGCATGTGACTATTTCAAGACATGTATATTTTACTCAAAGATTATTACATTTTGTGTAGATACACATAGTAACTTTGGAATTATGATCAACATTCTTTCTCCAATATTATACCAACCCTGTATAAATAAGCATGAAAGGATGAAGGTATTTATAGTGACGTGAAAATCTAATTACAAACATATTTTTATATTTCTGTCTACCAAGATGTCAAACCTTTTTGCAGGAAACAAAACAATAATTACACTATGAGCTAATTAAGTATAGTTGCTATAATTTTAAGTAAGTATGAAATACTACTGATAGAGTTGTTTTTAAGAGAAATGATCAAGCATTTAAGTCAAGCTCTCAGATTCATGTATGTTAGAGTTACATGGAGTTTATCAAATATATTCTAAGTAATCAAAGAGTTGGAATTTAATGAAAGATGACTAAGATTCAGAGATTATACATCAAAAGAGCATCAATAAAAAGTCAAGAGTAAAAGACAAAACAGAAACAAAAGAGTGATAAGCATTTACTTACAGATCTTATTTCTTTTTGGCTACTTTTCTATTTTAATTGTGATAGTGATGCATTTTTGTAACCCAACCATGGATTCTCCTAATTCTTTGTTCCCACTTTCCAACAAAGTAACAAAAAATGTGCACTTACTAACTGAGCTTAAGGGTTAATCTGCTGGCTACTACTAGTATGGCAATTTTAACTGCACAAACTACCCTTCATGTAGTGTCTCTTGAATATCTTAAGATTCATAGTTTTTACTTAAAAGTCTTGTTATATATTTTAACATTAATGTAAATTTTTGTTGCATTTTTAACTTTATAGATATATTTGATGGCTTTAATGTAATGCAGTATGTTAAAACAATGATATAAGTACAAAATTAAGTTTTCTTTTGTTGCAATTTTTTGTATGCAGTGTGTTAAAATAGTGATGTAAATACAATATTATCTTTTTTGTTGCAATTTTCCAGCATAATGATGTCTGCTAAATTCCTGCTTTTCTGTGTTTTTGTTTCTAGAACAGGAATGTTAAACATCAGCATTGTGTTAGATATGGCATGCTACTTGCAAAAAGAAAGAAATTACATACCTTGGGCAACATCTTTTTCCCATTTTCAAGATCTCAGCTTTCTTGTGTACAATACCCCAGTTTATCCTGTCTTTCAGGTGAGTTTGAGAACATATTAATTTGATTATAAAATGTGCTATTGTAAAATTTGTCAGAGCTCTACAAATATAAAATACTATATTGTTACATCTTTTTTTTTATGAAAATGTTACTAAAATGATTAAAAAACATAGATCACTGAGAGGAAGTGAAAGATTAGAATATTTATGAGTAGCTAATACATTATAGTGTATTACTTATAGTAAAAATGTTCATTCAAAGGTCCTAACCTATGCAAGTGCTTAATTTTGGGTTACACATCATGGGTATATTGGGTAAAGTACACTAGTAAATATTTTGTAGGAATAATGCTTCTTACAAGACTTAATTCTCTCCCATTATTTCTTCAAAGTATGTGTATGTGTTTCTTTAAGAAAAATGAGCATACTTTTTCTTTATATGCATTCACAGTTGTTAATATATTTGTGACAAAACAGCTATTTCTTTTTTTTTGCATAATGTAAACTAAAGTATTTATGATATTCATCTTGACCATTTTTGTAACAAAAAATAACATTAAACCTAAATATAATATAGTATTGTATTTGATGTTTTCAAAATTATAGATTACCATGGTGTTAACATGACAGGTTTTTAGATCAGATTCAAAGTTTGTGTCATGATGCTCCTTAACCCACTCCACATTTTGAGGGTGTATTATAACAAAACATTTCTGGATAACGATGGATTTGTTGGTCCACCTTAACTATCCCATCCACTAAACTAAAGTGTAAAACAATCAAAAAACTAAAAACTTTGGGCTGGCTACCTTCTCTTCAAGATTGGGACAGCTACACTTAGACCTTAGGGGTCTCTTGGCCTGTTTATTTAGCCAATGTATTGCATAAAGTGCCATTTAAATTGAAAATAACCACACCATTCCATGTTACACAGATTCTATATGAAATTACAAATAACATTACTTCATTACTCCTCAGTTAAAATTAAGTCATATAATTAATGGTTTGAAAGATAAAATTGAATTGAGGGATAAATGTGGTATATATATAAAATTTCATGTACTTGTGGTCTAAGTTATATTGGACAGACAAGTAAGAACCAAAATTTAGAGTAAAAGAACATCAAAATGCTGTGGATAAATTAAAAATAGGTGAATTGACTTTGGCAGAATATGTGGCGAATTTTAAACATATTATTGATTGGGATAATGTAAAAATTCTTAAACAGTTAATGGAAAAAAATTAATTAATTATAAAAGAATCTTTAGAAATTCTTAAAAACAAAAGGAATTTAAATAGAGATTTAAGCCCAGGAACCACCTAAATAATTTTTTGGAAATTATTGTTGTAAATGGTGCCATTGTACTTTTTATGCTAATTATACGTGTACCTTAGGTTTATAAGCAATGTTATGTGTACTTCTTGATGGATTCTCTTAAAGATGGTGGAATTATTTACACAGAAACATGTAGAGTTTTAAGTTTCTTTTAACTTTTATTTTTTTTAATTTTTTAATCTTTCTTAACTTAATAATTTGTGACTAAGTAAAAAACGTTGTAGTTTTTAG